TTTCAATCAATCAATCTTTTTTTGCATATATTTTACGTCTTCGTATGAAGATGCTTTCTTTGTTTTTGAATCAATTTTGGGGCTCATAGTTTGATTCATACCAGTCTAGTTATATAAGCTGAGTCTGGTTGGTGTGGTTGCTAGGATAACACTATCACTGCATGTTACTGTATGTAGTTAATCAGACTTCAATGTGAACAACATTGTGATTTTCTATGTTTATAATTGTTACAGTAAGGACATAAACATTGGTTATTTGGTTACTTTTCTGTATGTTACTATATTTATTTATATGATGTATCAGCATTGTAATGCTAGGCTGCAATTCATAAGTAAAATGTATTTATATAGTGCTTTTCACAAGGAAATGTACAACGAAAAGTAATAAAATAAACAATAAAACTTTGAGTAGCTTCTCTCTATAAATGTGTTGTTGTAAACATCAAGTCTTTGAAACATGGTCACAGTCTCCCCTGTTGCTCCTGAGATATGGTGTTGAATAATGGACAAAAAGGTATTTTTTCAGGACATTATGTTATCGTGACTTTGACCTTTTTGGTAAAACATGCAATCACTTGTTATATCCCATTCAATATGTGTGTGAAATGTTGTCATAATTACAACAATCAATCAATCAATTCTTAAGTTATGACCAAAAATGTAAAACTGTTATCCAATACAACGAAGGGAAAATCAGGGTTGGACCCAAATGCAAGACAGCACAGGAACTTCCTCCAACTCTCTCCATCGTACATGTGAGAGGACACATAGTCACTGCCACTTCCTGTATTCCTCCAGCAGTGCTGTATACATGTGCTCCATAGTTTCCACTTCCTCCTGCTGCGTTCACATCTCACCTCTTGTCTAACACATGAAAACAGCTTTGCACTTCCTCTCAGTGGTCAGCTTGAAAGCACGTTGACTGTCAAAAACAAAAGTTCACTGACAGAGAATCGCTATAATTGATTTCCTGTCGAGTGTGGGACAGATACGCCGACATTACAAAATCTTAGGTAAGTAGGCATGCAATATATGTTTTGTGTAATCAGTGTGAGGCTGTGAACTGTTGAATCTCTACCATGCGTCGGAGTATTACAGGTTATAGATGTCTAAGGTATTTTTAACTGTGTTTTGTGGTCTGTTTCTTTATTTCTCTCTCAGAAACATGGCCCAGGAAGCAGTTGGTGAGAAAAACTAATTTACTGTTTTTTTTTATAAATGACAACACTTTGCTTTATCAACACTGCAGTATTTCAGTATTAAAGAGAACTACAATTAGTCATGTCATATAATAGATAACATTTAATGCTGCTTTTACCAATATTTGCACATTATAACTGGATCAACTGACAGCATGTAAAGTGAAAGTGTTTGCTTGTAGTGGTGAACCTGCAGAGAATCAACTGACTCTAAGTTTCTGTGTCTGTCAGCTATTTGTTTTCTGACCATAACCTTTACACAACTCTCATTAGTGTTGCTTTCAGTCACATATGATATTAAATGAGGCCAACGTGTCTAATAATTAGTTAATTATAAAGTATGCTAATAAATGTGTTAGAGTGTATAGAGCAGGACATGAGCAGAATAGACCCCTTTTCAGCTCTAATAAACCCACTGTATGTTTCCTACCCAGAACCAAACAGCAGACAGACACAGTTAGCAACTAGCTGGTGAACACAGTGGAGCATTTAGCAACTAAAGAGTCAACATGTTTTTATCAGCAATCAGCAACCACCAACCTGCAACATAATTAGTGCTTCCTGATTGCTTCTGTGGCTTTCGTGTTCATGCAGCAGCTTTAAACCAGGAACAGTGACACAAAAACAAAAGTAAACACAAACTTCTACCGTCTGAGTAATTTTTGCTATGATCATATGAAAATTCATTTTTTTTAAGTTTAATTAAAAAAGTAAAGTAAAATACCTTCTAATGAATGCTGGATCTCGTTCTTTCTTCATCTGGGTCTGATGGTGTAGCTACACTAAACTATGTTACAGTGCTATAATGACTGAAATATTCTTCTTTGCCTTTAGTGTCGTGGAAAAAGTTCTGTATCATCTTGGCGGGAAAAACCTACGGGGCTCATCAAGCCTTTGTTGCAAAGCTTAAAAGCATCGGCCAAATTAAGGTGAACTCTGTAGAAAAAAGTGACTACCTTCTGGTTTTCTGTCCCATCACGACACGAGTTGGAACGGACATCAGCGAGGCCATGGAGAAACTTCCAGGTAAGAAATGCCTGCCGTCATTATTTGGTCAATTTCACACTGATTAGCCAAAGTAATACAGGAAAATTTGGCCAATTAGTTTAGTTTTTGTACAGATACTGGACTTTTTAGCAATTGCCTAAGTTAATTGCATAAGTTTTGTACAACCTTGCAATTTTGTGCCCGCCCTGGAAAAAGCTAGGGGCTATAGCTGATCCCTGAGCTATATATATATATATATATATATATATATATATATATATATACAGATGTAGTAAAAACCAAACTGATCTCATCTCTTAACTGTCATCTTACGTTTGTCTCATCTGGTTGTGTTATCTCTGTGCTTACAGGTGGTAAACCAGCAATTCTGGTGGTGATGCATCACACCTTCGATCCTGACCAAGTTGTATCTAAAAGCAGAAGACAAGTGGAAAAATATCCAAACGTCTACTTCACTGTGGACTGTCTGTTCCATAAGGGCAAACTCCTGAAGTGTAAATGCAATGATAATGCATGGTCTGATGTCCAGATGTGTCTTCCAAGAGGTCCCACGGTAATGATGGATTAAAGTTACAGATCTAATACAATCACACAATCCATGTGTGTGAGTGCACTGATAGAGTGATTTTAAAGGATTAAGGGATCATTACTCTGGTTTAACTCTGAAATGATGAACATGATGTAGTAATTATTACTTATTATTGCTTTTACTCTTTTCTTTCTCTCTTTCTTTTAGGTCTCTCAAGTCTTCAAGAATTACACCAACAATAGTAAGTGTGACTGCAATCCTGAACTTTAAATGTCTATCTTCTTTCATTTCCTTTGAATTAAGGGAAATTGGCGTTGGTATTACTAATCTAATCTGAGAGTAAAATAATTTCAGTGTTGTTTGAGTTGTAAATGAAACCAGGTGACTGATTTATCTGTTTTTCTTCCCATTAGATTTGTGTTTCCTTCAGTGGCTGGCTGTCTTTTTAGTTATTCTTTTAATCCTATTGCTGATATTGACGATGAACTTTGACCAAATATTTGGTGTTGGAAGGAAAGTGAACAATGATTCGACTTGAAAGGACAAAGTAAATGTTGTATGTAATGAATGTGTAATGATCTGCAAAAATCTAATATGTTATTTTTTGTTGTCACTGACATATAGTTGTGAGGGCTGATATATATATATTTTTTGGCTGAAGCTTTTGATCACTTCTGTATCTGAAGCAAAATATGATGAATAACAGCTGCGGTTGGCGGGTTACCTGTGGTTTGGTTGTGTGGGTATGGTGTTGGTTGCTTGTGGTGTAGGCTGAAGGGGGTGATTTGCAAACCGCAAGGTAGCATTGAGTCAAATAGTCAATAGTCAAAATAAAATATAGGAACACTGCAGATAGTAACATTATTCTTAATATGATTAAAATATATTTTCCAGTGTTGAATTTTCATTTCACGTTTGACCGATGCCCAGGATGATGCTCGCTCGATGATGCAGTTCACTTAACGGCCACAGGCATTATTATTAACAACGGCTTTCAATAATCCTTAAATTAATCTTATTTATAGGAAATGTATGTTGATATGTTGCAATCAAGTCATTTAATGAGTATGTAACACCGGGGGAACAAAAGTAACTTCACAACACCAGTAATTGTGCTTTAGAAGTTTTGTACATGTTTAAATGTGTGTGAAACAAATCTAATAAAAAATCAACAAAATGAATCAAAGTGTGTCTTTGTAAATTTGTTGCATCCCAGATTATCAAATGAGATGGATTACTATCAAAAACAAATGTACAGAACTGTGGTGGCATGATAATGGTATTTAAATGTTTTTTGGCGACTGGGAGTCCAGTCTCTGTCGTCCAGGGGTGGTGAAAGCCAGGGGCGTTTCTAGACCCCCTGGGGGCCCTAGGCAAGAAGGACCACAGGGCCCCCCAGAATCGTGATGAATGAAGTCCAGGACTACGGATCAGCAAAGAGATCTTTTATTAAACAATTAATATATAAAATAAATAATAAATAACATAACTATCTGAATGCAAACTTTACATACAATATATAAATAACAGAAAAACAAACATAACTGAAATGTGCAAAATTTTCAGAATGATAAAAACGCAACCAAGCAAGAAAACAAAAAAACGAGGAATTGAAGTGGAAAGGAAGAACTTAAGACTTGCTGTGACACCTTGGTCCTATATCCACAGTCCAATAGTAGTGTCTTTTTTTTTTTCGTAAAACTGCTGCTTGTGGGCCTTGGCTTCTGCAAATGCAGCCACTATGTCTTCCATATCTAAGGACCTCTGAACATCTCTTTCTATTGAAATCAGTGCCAGTCCTGTGAGCCTCTCCTGGCACATGGTTGACCTCAAATAGGGTTTGATCAACTTCAAAGCAGAAAAGCTCCTCTCACCAATGCAAAGCTTAGATTACTGTACAGATCCAGAAGGTTTTCACTGTAAATGTAGTTTAACATGTCATTTGGGCAGGTGGAGGTGTGGTCTGGAAAAGTGTAGACAGCAGAATTGATCTCCAATTCTCCCCTCATGATCTGAGGTTGATATTGCTAAAACGAAAATAGTATAAGAAACAATTGTTTAAGAAAAATATTTGTGTAGTCACATTAAATCAGATAGATCCCATGATATGTTTTAAATGGGAGAGCAAGTCACTGTAATCTTAACTTTAAAAAGGAAACTAAATAAGTTCCTACTTTTATGTGTAGAGGTCAGCTGTTGCAGCTGCTGCTGCTGTTGTTGTTGTTGTTGTTGTTGTTGTTGTTGTGGCCAAAAACTTCAACAAAGCACCTTGAGGAAGAAAAAGAAAAGAGCACAATGTATTTGGTTGGCTTGCATAAAGTAAAGAACTGTGCATGCTACACAAACACAACATTTGAGATCTGTATGGAATAATTAATGAACATCCATTTGCAGTAACAAGTTTAATGCTTCATGTTAACATTTTATTTAATGTAACATTTAGGCTATAGCAGAAAATGTATGGATATATAGGATAGGATATACTTTATTTATGCCTGAAGGGAAATTCAGTTGTCCAGCAGCTCACATTTTAAAAACATAGTTCCAAATACAAATTAGCACCAGTTTAGACTAAACTGACAGCAGAACTGATGCTGGTATCAGTTTTAACATTTGACAACAAATGCTTTATTCTGGGAGAAAATATAATTGGCATTGGCAGCAAAGGACTAACTTATTGTGTGGCTATGAATGTGTTTAGAAGAAAATGGCTGAATTCACTTTACACGGACTTTAATGTGCAGTAAACTTTTTTGGTGCTTGGTGGATGACTGGGAGTTTGATATAAAGTGGCAGGCTGTCTGGCAGCACTACCTTTTATAATGTAACACACATAGCTTACACATTCCCACTTACCACTGTCACCTTTTTCATTTCATCCTCTTCTTGTTTTGTTTTTCTTTGCGTGTGCCCAGAGAGATATGTTCGCTTCATTTTCTCCTGTGTGTGTTTGACCGGGACAGCACGTCGAAGCCGGCCAGTAAGGGGGCCCCATTAGGGAGATTCCCGACGTGTCATTGCAGTGTCTACGGGGGTTTCAAGTTGTGTCGCTGATATGGAGCGATATCAGCCGTCTGTCGGGGCCCCCTACTAGCAACTAGCCAGTGACAACCCGGAAAGGGCCCTGTGGGGGGGCGTCTAAAGCAGTTCCATTATTTTGTCATTGACGTCAGCCGTCCCTCGGGGCCCCCTTCAGCTCGGGGCCCTCTGGTGAAAGCAATCAAATCAAGAAATAATCTCTAAAAAAATACTGTTGCAGAGTGACGTGGACGAAGACTCAGCTTTGAGCAAAACAATGAAGCATGCAGCCAAGAAAATGTGGTAATACTTTATAATGACAGTCATATATAAGTCTGTAGTCAATAATGAACTAATCATCAACAAAATACTTATATGTTTGTAAAATAAATAATGAGTTGATATGCCCGTTTATTCCACCAGCAGTGTTTATAAATGTGCTCTGCAGTTTCTCCTTCCTCCTCCTGTGTTCACATCTGATCTCTTGTTAAACACTGACACAGTTAATGTCTCATCTCTGCACGTCCTCTAGTGGTCAACTTGAGTTCATGTTGCTTGCAAAAACAAAAGTGAAAGTGCTTCACTCACAGGGAGGAGCTACGGTCCCTTTCCTTGTCGAGTGTGGAACAGAAGTGCCAGAGACATTACAAAGAAAACATCTATTTCGTAAGTAGGCATGAATTAAAGGTACTGCATGGCTTGTAATGAATCCATGTGAGCTTGTGATCTGCTGACTCTCTACATTCATCTGAGTGTTATAGGTTATAGACATCTGTGGTATTTTTATCTGTGTTTCCTGGGCTCGGCACAAGCTTGTGCAGAGCAGCTATGACAGAGCAATATGTGACTCATACACCTCCCTGTTTAGCTTTGTTTTACTTCGTAAATGTTACTGAATGTTCCTGTTTCTTTATCTCTTCCACAGAGACATGGGCAATGAAGTAACAACTGGTGAGAAAACAAATGTAGTGTTTTTACTGAAATATTTAATTATTACAGAGAATAAACTACATTTAGTCAGTACAATAGATAACACTGAAAGCTGCTCTAACCTATGTTTCTATATTGTAACAGGAATAACTGACAGCATCTAATGTGAGAGGGCTTGCTTGTAGTGATAAACCTACAGAGAATAATCAACTGACTCTCAGTTTCTGTGTCTTTCAGCTTATTGTTTTGGCTTTTTTGGTCATAAACTTTACTATTTTAGTTCACTCCCACACCTCTGTGTGTTTTCAGCAGCTCTGATAGACCCACTGTATGTTGACTGCCCAGCACCAAAGAGCAGACAGCTACAGTTAGCAACCAGCTGGAGAACATAGTGGAGCATTTAGTTACTGAAGAGTCAGACAGTACGTTTCTGCAACAGAATTAGTTCTTCATAAACTGACATATGCTGTTGATTTTAACCATGAAGTAACACACTGTATGTCTGTACAGTCACCACCTCCAACACCTCCTCTGACATAGAAAACTGTAAACTGCTATAATAATATGAAAATTCTGCATCTTTACGGCGCTGTAATGACTCAAACATTCTTTTTGTCTGTAGTGTCTCGGAAAAGGTTCTTTGTCTTCTTGGTGGGAAAAACTAATGGGGCTCATCTAGAACTTGTTACAAAGCTTAAAGGCTTTGGCCAAATTGAGGTGAAGTCTTCTGGGTCTGACAACTTATTAATGATTCAAACGTTCTTCTCTGTCTTTAGTGTCGGGGGGACGTTCTTTGTCTTCTTGGCAGGAAGAACTAATGATGCTCATCTGGAGTTTGTGGCAAAGCTTGAAAGCATTGGTCATATTGAGGTGAACTCTCCAAAAGAAAGTGACTACCTTCTGGTTTTTTGTCCTATCGTGTCACGAGTTGGAACAGACATCAGCGAGGCCCTGGACAAACTTCCAGGTAGGAAATGCCTTCGGCCATTGGCCAATTTCTCACAGATTAGTCAAAGGAATACAGGGAAATTCAGTCAAAAAGTTCCTTATTTTGGTATGAAAGATACTGCTTCTGTGAACAGATTTAGTCAAGAGCGGTTTAGATTTACTCTCGCCACATCTCAACTCCCAGTTCTTGTTTGCAGGCAGATATTTTAAACAGCTCTGATGCTACCTGCCCATCATCAAACGGCAGATAGACAAAATCACGTTGCTCTGTATCTGCTAGATGTGTGAAAAGGCAGTTGCAGACCCCCGAGTGGCTAATCAGGAGAAACAGGCAGATTCCCGGTGGGCCAGGCTCATTGCTGGGCCGCAAAGGATTGTGGCAGGGTTGGTAAACACAGTCATCTTTATAAATAGAGAACGTGGGCTGCACTAGCAGAAGCCCAGGTGGTTACAGTTGATCACTTGATTGATGACTGATTATATTTGACCTTTGACTCTGACCACAGTGAACACCAACTCAGGTACCAGAGACGGTTTGGCACTTGGTGGAAGATACAAGTAAGACATAAAAAATATAGAGAATGAAAAGAGAAGAGAGAAGTGGGAGCTGAAAAGATCAGAAAAAAAAGCTTCACAAGCTGAGGTGGCTAAATGATCCAAACTCTGCTAACTTGTCTATAAGACAGGTTGGTTAGCCTTGGCTACAGTGCTGTCTGATGTCAGAATATAAGGTATAACGTTGAGTGAAGAAGAGGCGGTAAAGCGCCGGGCAGGTAGGATTACTTAGTGTTAAAGACGATCAGAATACTTTTATTTTGGAGGGATGGGGGACTTGTAGTACGAGGACTCAGTAACGTGACCAGAAGGATTGCTGCACCGGTGAGCTGTTGTACCACAGTGTGTGAACAATCAGATATATGTGATCCAGTATCACCACTATTTATACACATATATTAGTAATGTTTTTTATCATTAAGAGTAGAATAGCAAACATACTAAGACCACAACTGAAACAGAATAGGATGGAAGATAAGACTGCATGTTTTGGCATGGAAAAAAAATCTATGTTGTGAACTAAAGTGGGCTGGTCTGAGGCATGAAACTGGCATGCAATTTCGCTACCCCCCCATCACTTACTTATTCACAACCCAGTTACGCCCCTATATAAAAATACCATGACAAGAAATGCGTAAAAATTTATGTGAATGAAAACCGTGCTCCCAGGTAGATGGAGTAAAAACCAAACTGATCTCCCCTCTCAGTTTCATCTTGTTTCTGACTCATTTGATTCTGTTATCAGGTGGTAAAGCAACAATTCTGGTGGTGTTGCATCACACCTTCAATCGTGACCATGTTGTAGCTGAAAGCAGAAGACTGGTGAACAACATGAACGTCCGCCTCACTGTGGACTGTCTGTTCTATGAGGGTAGACTCCTAACGTGCAGACGCAATGATACTGCATGGAGTGATATCCAGAAGTTTCTTGAGTTTCCCCCTCCCAGGTAGGGGCTAGATTTATTTACTTACTATCACACAGTCAGTGTGGGGTGCACTGATATTGTGATATTATGGAATAAGACATTACTATGGTTACTAATTATTATTACTCTTTCTTTGCTTTCATACAGGTCTCTATCTGGACTAGGTTCAGCAATTGTAAGTGTGACTGTAATCATGAACTTGAACAGATTTCAGATCAGATTTTAGTCTGTAAACTTCACTTGGATGTACGGAGTACCGCAACTGCCAAAACCAAAAATAAATAGACAAATAAATTACTTAATACAAAATAATTTTAAAATAAATGTAGGCGTTAATTTCATACAATGTAACATAAATGTATATTTCTGTTTTAATTTGCTTTTTCATTTACCTTTGTATTATTTACCCTATAAATTTACTTTCCCATAGATTTTTCATTTCATTTATAAATTTTTTATATATTACTTTATGTGTTTATTTCTTTATATATTGTTTTCCCTTTGCACCCCCCATTTATTTCCCTAGACATATTTATTACTGTGTTTTCTTTTATGCATTTTTGCTTCATTATGCAAACGATATGCAAATATATAATACATTAAGTATTTAAAAATGAATACATTAATAAAGAAAATGGAAACTTAAACATGAAAATGAATACATAGGTGAATTAGTACTGTGCAAAATAGTTACCCATAAGTTCACCTGAAGCTTTAACTGCCTGATTCAGTCAAATCAAGAAGGTTTTTTTCCGATTAGTATTTTGTTGATGAGCTGGGTTACAGCAACACTAGCACAAAGCTTTACAATGTGAACCTTGAAGCTGAAATGCAGGATGCAAACACTGAAGCATGTTAGAATGATGGACTGTGCCTGTAGTTTTATGGTTAAAAGCCAGTTTAGAAAAAAAAAAAAAAAGTTTACTTAATATAAATTAATAATGAAATCGGTATGTTGATCAAATATGTAAGTAAAATCATTTTGATTCCAGGTGACTCATTGCTCTGTTTTTCTTTATTTTAGGGTGCTGGCAGAATCGGAAGACTGGTCTTGTTCTTGCACTGGTGGGACTGGCTGTCATTTTGACAAGAAAATGGGCTTTAACTTACTATTCTCTTCTATTTCAACCTGTATTTGGTTCTTCTAATCATGTATATATTTAATCCTTTTCCTCAGTTTGAATCGAGTGTCTAAGATATGTTGTAAGATTGTAAAGCCCCATGAAACAAATTGTGTTTTGTGATATTCTGGCTATGTAAATAACTTTGTCTTGACTTGAGTAACACGACAGCTTCTAATTTGCAGTTTACAGTATTATTGCAATAAATGATTCTTGGAAGGACAAAATCAATGTGCTATGTAATGCATGTTTAATCATCTGAACAAATGTAATAAAGGAATGATTATTGTTGTTGTTATTGTAGTAAAGTTGTGAGGCCAAGATTTTCATTAATATTTTAGGGGAAAATAATGGAAGAATAAAGTTGAATTTATGTAATGTGAGGCTTCAGCAGTCAATGGATGTATTCCACAGTCACAATGATACAAAGGTCCTCCACACACACACTCTCACACCGATGGCTATGGGAGTAATTTGGGGTTCAGTATCTGGCCTAAGAATTTTTCAACTGGACTGGGGGAGCAAGGGAATCAAACCAGTGATCCTCAAAAAGGGAGAGATTTTATTAATCCCCAAGGGGAAATTCTTTTTACTTTACACACAGGCCTGAAATACAATCACACACATGCAGGGCTTACAGACATGCAAATGTGGAGAGATGGTGGAATGATGGGCTGCCACATAGGGACACTTTGCAAGCAGTTAGGGGTTTGGTGCCTTGCTCAAGGGCACCTCTGCAGTGCACAGGAGGTACAACTGGCACCTCTCCAGCTGCCAGTACACACTCCATACTGTGGTCTGTGCTGGACTTGAACGGGCAACCCTCTGGTCCCTACAGACTAAGCTAATGCCCAAATATAAGACCGGATCTGAGGAAATGGCAAGGGGTTGCGTTCTCATCACTGCACCATCGACTCCTTCTGGTTGGTTGGTGTGTCTGTGTAGAGGGGGTGAAGCTTACACTCCCTCCATCCAATATGTAAGGAAACACTCACATTTCTGTAATGTTAATCAAACACATAGTATCTGCCAGTGGCCATGTATTCCACCAGCAGTGTTGTATAAATACAGTTACTCCCTCCTCCTGCTGTGTTCACATCTGATCTCTTGTTACACACTGACATAAACATGTCTCATCTCTGCACTTCCTCTAGTGGACAGTTTGAGAGCATGTCGTTGGCAAAAGCAAAAGTGAAAGTGCTACAGTCAGAGGGAGGAGCCGTACATATTTTCCTGTCGAGTGTGGAACAGATATGCCAGAGACATTGCAAAGGAATTATCAGTATATTAAATGAGGAAAGCTTCTTAAAAGTTTAAATTCCTGCGAGGCTCCGAGCTGCTCACTCTCTACCATGCATACTGGTGATTACAGCCGTCTGAGGTATTTGTGACTGTGTTTTTGTGGGCTGTGCACAAGCTTGTGCAGAGCAGCTCTGACAAAGCAATATGTGACGCATATACACCTGCTGCTTGTTTAGCTTTATTTCATTGTGTTAAATGATGTTGACTAAATGTTCCTCTCTGATTCTTCATCTACTTTCTCAGTGAGATGGATCAGGAACAGGTGACTGGTGAGAAAACAAATTTACTGTTTTTAATTGACGTTGCTTTGTTAAAAAGAATAAACTACATTTTCATTACAATAGATAACATTTAAAGCTGCTTTTACCTAATTGTTCTATAATGGGGCAGCAGGGAGCTCAGTGTGTAGGGACTTGGCTTGGGAACCAGAGAGTTGCTGGTTCAAGTCCCACAGACCACAAAATATGGAGTGTGGACTGGTAGCCGGAGAGGTGCTCCTGTGCACTGCCAGGGTGCTCTTGAGCAAGGCAACCTAACCCCAAGCCTGCTCATGGGGCGCTGTTAACGTTGCAGCCCAATCACTCTACCATCTCTCTCCCTGTTTGCATGTCCACATGTGCATGAAAGTGTGTATTTCAGCCTGTGTGTGTAAAAAAAAAAAAAAAAGTGAAAAGAACAATTTATTAATTAAAGTATATCTTCTTATAACCGGATCAGCTGACAAC